ATCTCACTCAATGGGAACAAGCAAGAACAATGTTTGGGAGCACTGAGGAATGGACAGAGTTGGTTTCAGACTGCTGCAGGGCTCCCTCAGTGTCTTCTCACAAATAAAAGCAAGAGATAAGAGACCAGGGGGGCGAAAAAACAAATCCATCACCAGATCCAAAACCCGAAAAGAAGCTTTGGGATACAGCGATACACCCACCCAATTGCAGATCTTTATTGGACAGTTATCAGGAGGAGATGCCTGAAAGAAGTCAGAAGGAAAGGAAATTGAAGAACAAGAACAGTGGAGAAGATGCTGGTTAGCCCAAAGAAACATTGTATGTAACTGGGGACAAAAAAAAAGAAAAAGAAAAAAGAAGGACCAAGGAAGTTTTTTTGGAAATTCGTTCCGCAGAAAATGAAAGCAGTAACATATGAACTGGCACACCCCTTCTCCAAGGACGTACAAAAGGGGGCCGAAGGTCCTTTCCCCCTTGGCCCTTGGCCCTTGGCCCCTTGGCCCCTTGGGGAAAACCAACCAAAGGTGGATTTCTCATCTAACCATAACAGATGACCTGCCTGGACCTTATGTGTGAATACGCAAGATTGTACTTTCAGGACATGCTAACTTTCAGGCGGACCCTACAGTAATATGGAAACAGACTTCAAGTTGAAGGAATATCAACATTTCCGGAAGCGGAATCGCACGCAAGCCAGATTACCAAGTTGAACACAGTCCAGACTGAATCTGGACAGGACCCATCAAAGATGATGAACTGAAATACGCTGCCAAACAAGTGGCGAAAGGCAAATGCCCCAGGGGACAATGGCCTGGGGTGATAGAGTTTTATCTAACGGTTTGGCAACACATCGCCGCCTACCTGCTAAGTATATACAACAATGTCCTATCCGGCGGCACCCTGATGAGAGGGGGGAATGATGAGGGGCATAATCACCCTTCTTTACAAGAAAGAAGGAGGGGGGGGGGGGGGGGCAAAACTGACGTCAGAAATTGGAGACCGACCAATTTTCTTGTTGAATCGTCCCCTACCTGCTAAGTATAGACAACAATATCCTATCCGGTGGCACCCTGATGAGAGGAATGAAGAGGGGCATAATCACCCTTCCTTACAAGTAGGCGGGGACAAAGCTGATGGCAGAAATTGCAGACCAATTTCCTTGCTGAATGTCTCCTACAAATTATTGGCCAAAACACGCGCACTAAGGCTAGCCAAATCCCTCCCAGATCTGATTGGGAGAGACCAGGGAGCATTTGTCAAACACGGAAACATAATGGACAAACATGGCAGCGACCGTCCAAGCACTTGAGATAGTAGCTGCAGCTGAAAACAGGAATGTAACAGTTCATCTTGTAGACATGAAAAAAGCCTACGACCGCGCCGGGTGCGCTTTTGTCATGACCAACCTACGCCACACGTTTTTTCTTTTTTTTGGGTCAGAAATTTTGTCGACGGATGTCAAATTGTCAATCATGGACTCCACAGCAACTGCTGCTGTAATGGTCAACGGACAACTGTCGCAAGAATTTGGGTAGTCCAGGTCCCTGCGACAAGGTTGTCCCCTAGAGGGCCTAAAACTACATAAGAATATCAGATACAACGTCAATCTAGAGGGCCTAAAACTACATAACAATATCCAATGGAAGAGAGAGGAGCCTTGGCGGACGATCTAAAAATCGGCGCCGAAAACACTAGACCAAACCCTCTGACACTAAAGACAACGCTCAACACGTAGTGTGAGTTATCGGAGGCTTCAATAAACTGGAACAATTCGGTGTACGTTTTGCCGAAAGTACAGACAGACTGCACAGGGGTCGTCGACCGATCCCCACAGATGAGTCAGACCGATTCTTGGGAGTGCAGGTATCCCTCTCAGATTACTCAGATTTCCAATATTCCATCCTTGAAGAAAGGTTCCTCCATAGGCTATCAACCTCGAACCGATATTCCGCCCGAACTGCAGCAGGCACTTGTCACTATTCGGGCGGGCAATGGTGATTACCGTTGGTGGATTCTCGGTGCTGTAATTCACGCTTGCAGGTCACTTATTGGGGGAACCGTCCTACAAAAGGATCCACAAATCAGCAGCTAGGTACCTGTGGAAGCCAGAGGCACACAACCAAGAGAACGGTTTGTCGAAGGTGGCATGGGAGACAATCACCTTCCCCAGGCACGGAGGTGGTTTAGGGATCTTGGATCCTTAGGAGCAGAATATTGCACTCCTTTTTTAAAACTTCCTATCTAGATGGGCTGTCAAATCCTTAGCAGCGGAGCCAGAAGCCCCATGAATGCGACTAGCTTGGTATATCCTAACCAATGAGTGGTCCCTAGCCCGGCCTGAGGATGCGCTCACATGTCTGATGATTAGACCCTACGTTAACAGACGCCCCAAGTGAAAGTTCTGGAGCAATATCTTAACAGCCTGGCAGAATCTCTTTCCGTCAGAGAGGGAGCAGCCAGACTCAACGGCTACTGTCCTCAATCAAATACTACCGTCTTCCCCCAAACATAACGCACCCCGAAAAGGAAAGTATACAAGGTATGTTTCTGGCCAGATACAGTCAAAATGAGGGTGCGTTGCGTTCGGGGGAAGACGGTAGTCACAAGGAAGTCGGAAAGGGCAAAGGCAGGTGATAGATACGCTGCTAGAGAAGACTATCATGCAAAATGGAGATAGACTACTTCAATCGGTACTAGTGGATACACCGTCAGTAGGCTGTTATCAACAGTCGCGCAGGAAGATGATACCGTTAACTCAGTACACCCCAAGGTCAGCACCGAACTGTTGAGACAGAGAGTTCAAGAAGAAGCCATGTTCGACAGTAGATGGCAGACGGAAAGACAGGGATATGCTCAAAATCCCAGAGGCAGGTGAAAACGGATTAAGAGTCTGCCTGCCCAGAGGCTGGCTAGTATGCTGTGGCAACAGTCACTACTACCAACAGCCACGGCGGTCCCACTGGCTAAAAGAGAAAGGAAGATTTCCCCATCCTGCGTAGGGTGCAAAGGGATGTGAAAACAGACAGGCACCTGTGGATTACCTGTCCGGCATCAAGACGGATATGGGACTGGTGGCGCGTCCACTGGAACGGGATCACCAAGGGGGCGCCTTCGAATGGACGGACGACTGGATTATGAGGGCCATTCATACAGATTCCGAACGCAGGGATCAAGACTGGCTGTACGTGGCACAAGCCACGAGGGCGACCCTCATAAAGGTCATCTGGGGATGACTGTAATGACCAGCTTTTCAGAGCCTCGTGCACCTCAGACGCAGCGATTAAGGCAAAGGCGGCCAAGATGATCAGAACGACAATCGTAAGTGACTGGGTGCGGCATTCGGCAAATGGGGAACGCAGTAAAGGCAGACAATGGTTTCACAACGTGTGGGGGAAATACTCCCGGTTCGCAAGCCAAAGTCCGCAAGCTAGAGTCAAAACTGTTTTCCTTGGCTGCTGAAACCAATTGGTTTCGGATAAAGAGAGAGAGTAACCCACCGTAGTCGATTGCAGTTGTTTCTCTGGGAAAGTAGATTAGTCAGGGGAAAAATCCACAGGCTTTAGCCAGCGCTATCTTCTTCCGCCGAATACAAACTGCAAGAGGAATTTCCATCCTCCTTTTTTCTTTTCTTTTGGAGACCAACGATGCTCAGGGACACTGGACCCGGTTTCCAGAAGCCAAAGCTGAGTAATGGCCTCAGCAATGTCACGCATCAATCTTGTGTATTCCTCTGGGTTGTTTGTGGGGGAATTCCCGGCCCCGTGTTTTTCTCTCAGTAATAAAATGTACCATGCTTTCCAAGTCTCCAAAAAAAAAAATCAAAATAATGTTTTTTAAAGTTTTTTTGAAGCCCAGTCAGATCCTCCCACGCCTTATTAGATATCCGGATTCTGACCTGAAGGAATAGCAATATGCTATAGGAACATCACCGGAGCTTGCTGCCTGGAGTCTGTTCCTATAGACATCAACGGCCTGCGCATCATGCTGACATTGCTGAGTAAGCCTGCAAAGCGGGCTGACAACATTCTTTTCTCTTTTTTTGGGGGAAGGGTCAGTTTGGGGGCCACACGTTTCCACGGCTGTCAGGTTGTGGAGTGCAATCAAATGAAGGGCAAGTAAGACTTGAGGGCAGATTGGAAGTCAACTGAACGCTGCTATTGTGGGCATCCAAGTGGTGGTGCTGGATGTCACCGCTGACATTGCCATTGCACGCAGGGGGCTAGAAGGCTCAGTTTGGGGTCCCCAATCCCTTTTTCTCTCTGTTTTGTTTTTTGCTTGTTCTTTTTTCCCTCTTTCCAAGGACCATCAATTGCTTTGGTAGCTAGAATATGCACAGGAGGTTGGGGAGGAGGAGGGAAAGATGGCGAGATGCGTTCTGAGTCTCTGACTCTTAGATGAATATAACTTCAATTGTTTTTTGACTAGATGATACATGGGCGTCGGGAATGTTGAGGAGCAGGAGAGGGTAATTAGGTGACATCAATCCCTGAATGACTGCGGGTTCATGGATGACCATGACACTTGCACTGCTCATGAGTGAAACTTTGAAGGTTCATCTCTCTCCCTCTCTCTCTCTCTCTCTCTCTCTCTCTCTCTCTCTCTCTCTCTCTCTCTCTCTCTCTCTCTC